CATACTTGCTCAGTTCAGATGACTGCCTCCTGGTTCAAGTATAGGTTTTACAGAATCATGATCAAGTGTTATGGGATTCCCATTCTTCTCAGAGTCAGCCACAGTTTGTTGTGGTCCACACAGTCATATGCCTTTACATAGCCAACAAAACGCAGATACACATTCTTCTAGCACTCCCTGCTTTTAGCCACGATTCATCTAACATTAGCTACAATATCCCTAGTACCATGACCCCTTCTAAATCCAGACTGCACTTGTGGTAGTTCTCTGTTGATGTGCTGTTCCAGTTATTTTTGTATAATCTTCAGCAGAATCTTGCTTCCATGTGATATTAATGATATTGTTCAATAATTTCCACACTCTGTCAGATCACTTTTCTTTGGAATGGGAACAAATATAGATCTCTTCCACCTGGCCAACTACAGATTTCTTGGCACAACTTAGTGAGTACATCTAGGGCAGCATCTGTTTGTTGAAATATATCAATTGGTATACTGTCAATTCCCGGTAGAATTGGTAGAATATTTCTATAAACTTTTGCAGTCAGAGATTGATTGAACATGCAATCAAGATGTATTAATAATAATGAGAGACTGAAACGCAAAATTTGGGAACAGACAATATGGATCAGTAGTTGGAAAACATGGACTTGGTGACAGAAATGAAGCTGGATATTGAATTATAGAATTTTGTATAATCAACAATTTATTCATTGCAAATACATTTTATAAGAAACATAAATGCAGGCTTTACACATGGATTTCACCTGATAGTATACATAGGAATCAGATGATTACATCTGAAAGAACCACTGGAGAAGATCGGTATCAGCTGTGAAAACTAGGCCAGGTGCTGATTGTGAAACAGACCAACTACTCATTGCAAGTTCAAGCTGAAGCTAAGGAAAATTAAATTAAATCCTCAGAAACCAAAATCTGACCTTGAGTGTATTCTGCCTGAATTTCAAAACCATCTCAGAAAAAGGTTTGAGGCCTTGAACACTAATGAGCGACGATCAGATGAGTTATGGGAGGATATTAAGAATATCATCCAGGAACAGTGCAAAAGGTCAAAGACAGAGGAGGAAGAAAAGGCCAAAATGGATGTCAGAAGAAACTCTAAATATTGCACTAGAATGCCGAGAAGCCAAAGCAGAGGGAAGAAATAAAGATATTAAGGAGCTAGTGATATAGTCTATGGGAAATTGTGCTACCCACCCAAAGACTGCCTCTCTGGTATTTTGAATCCATTAAAGACTCTACAAGAAAAATACGGTCAATCCCCTCTTATGCAATTTACAGCCTCTGAAAACCCACTGAAGACATGATTATAAGTCACTTCCAACTCAGTAGAAATGAGAGTGTGAGTGACTCAACTCATTCTAACAACAGATAGGTCAACAAAGTGAGCAACATCACCAGGGAAATATATATATGCTGAAACCACAAACCACATGAGATAAAAGGGCAGCATTTGCCTAGAGATGAAGCTCAGAAGATGAGAATGGTAATTAAAGGGAGGCAGTGGAAGGAATTCTGTTACATTGTGGGGGTTTATAATCAACATCATGATATAAGTGTACCAAATCTAGAATGCAAGACTAATTTGCTCTGTAAACTTTCACCCAAATCACAATTTTAAAGTTGTTTTTTTTTTACAAATCACAATAACTTCTAATCTTGCATCATTACTATAATGTTATTTTAGGTGCTGTCAATGGATTACCATTCGTTGAGACGCTATTAACCTATCTGAACCTTGCCCTATTCTGTGCAATCCTCATAATCTCCAATCTACTGATGCCCACTGTAAGAGTCACTGTGTCAATCTACCTTGTTGAAGATCTTTTCTTCTTTCTCTGACCCTCTACCTTCCCCATCTTGATGTATTTTCCCAAGGACTGGCCTTTCCTAACAACATGCTCAAAGCATGTGAGATGGAATTTCACCGTCATTGATTCTAAGCAGCACCGTAGTTTTACTTCTTCCCAGATGGACTTGTTTATTCTTTTGGCAGTTCACGTGTATTCTACTCCAACACCACAATCCAAAGAAGTTGGGATTTAAAATGCTTAGGATAATGACATCAAATCACAAGATGGCCACAACTGTATTTGATCCAAAAAATGATAATAATTGCATAATACAGAGAATTATGATTTAGCCTGGTTGATACATATTTTGGAGGCTATACAATTGAAGCTATGAGGGTCACTGCCAGTTTTGAGGTAAGCACCCCTGTTATGACTCTGATGGTCAAGATATTTGGTTGTTAGGCAATGTGCATGATGTCTTTGCTTTCTATGCAGTAGAATTCATTTCTACAGGGCATCAGTCCATAAGTTTCCCCATTTCAGTTACTGCTATATTTTCCACATTTTACAAATTCAGGTCTAGTCCAGATTCACTTTGTCTGTCCTGCCTAATTCAGGAAGTTGTTCGAAGCCCTGCTTCTGAGTTCTAATTTAAAACTTTCCATTTATGTCTTACTGCAACTTTGAAGTTGAGTTCTAGGAAGGAGCCTCTCTCGCATTTCCAGCACACCCCTTGACTTGTCTACTCCTATTCTTAGTCTCATTCCAGAAGGCAGTGGCTCTAGACCTTTGATGCTGACATATGATTTGATTTTGCATATGATCAAACTTATATAACCTTGCTATCCTTCTTGGGAAATAAGCTGTACTGTTAAACTTAAAGGAGTGCTTTTCACTTGGAAACCAAAGTGAAACACACTGTTGTCAAGTTGATTCTGACTCATGACAACCCTCCACTGAGTGTCCAAAGCTTCAAGTCTTTATGAGAGGACACATCATCATCTAACTCCTACAGAGCAGTTGGTGGGTTTGAATTTTTAACCTTTTGGTTAGGAGTCTAACATATAAGGCACTTTATTATATCCTTTGAGAAAAAGAAGAAACTTCATATTGTACAATTTGATGGGGGGGGTCAAGAAAATGGGAAGAATCTATTCTCAAAAATCAGTGTATTCGAATTTTATAAATAGTCTTTTTTTTTTTACAAAAAGAATTAGTCTTTTCAGAAGGATACTAATCATACATGTGAGAGAAAAAAAAGTTTGTTAGTCAAGGTTTTACCAAGAAATGCACCTATAGTTTGAAATTTCTTCTTTCTCAGTGAAAGCTAAAATCTACTTCATTGCTATTTTTTTTACAAATCAAGAAAAACCTAATGGCTTTGGTTTACAAGGTTATGGGGGACTTTGGAAAATATCACTCTAGTTTTTAGCTTCTAATAAAAAAGCAAGTCAAAAGGAAGTAAAATAAGAATAGTAATGAAGATTTTGGTTTTGTTACTTTATAGAGTGTGGGACTGATCCAATGATGCCACTGAGTCAATTCTAACTCATGGAGACTCCACGTGAAAGAGCAGAATTGTTCCATGAGATTTTCGGGGCTATGCTTACAGGAGGACTCCTGCCAGCAATGACAAAAGCATCCTGCTGCTAAACAAGAGGTTGGCAGGTCAAACCTACCAGCCACTCTTTGAGAAGAAGATAAGAGAGTCTACGTTGCTAAAGATTTGCAGTGCTGTGAACCCAATGGACAGTTATGCCTTGTCCTGTAGTATCACTACAAGTAGGACTCAGCTCAGTGGCATTGGGTCTGGGGTTTCTGTCCATTTTTATGACAGTGGATCACAAGTCTTTCTTCTGTGATACCGGCTTATACATCCAAACCACCAACCTTTAGATTTGTAGTCAAGTGCAACATTAGTGCAACCAAGAGACCTCTCTCTGATAATACCTTCAAAATAGGAATCCTGATTGTTGTTTTTAGGTGCTTTTGAATCAAGTGCGACTCTATGAACAACAGATCTGAACTGTGTTCTATCCGGTACCATCCTCACACTTCCTGACACATTAGATCCTCTTCTGGCAGTCATTATGTCAATCCACCTAGTCAAGGGTTTTTTCTCCTTTGCTGACCCTTGCCTTTCTGAGCATCATGTCCCTTTCCAAGGAACAGCATCTCCTCTTCTCCAACACCACAGTTCAAAAGCATCGACTCTTCTTCGGTCATTCTTATTCATTGTCCAGCTCTCAGATGTATAGCAAGTGATTGGAAAGACCATGACCTGAATCAGATGCACCTCAGTCCTCAAACTGACATCATAACTCCTCAATAATTTGGAGAAGTTCCTAACTGCAGACTTCCCAGTGCAATACATATCCTGATTTTCTGATGAAGTTGTTGACAGTTTCAATCTTTTCTCAGTCTTATCATTATGTTGCCTATTGGGCCAGTGGTAAGAATCTTTGTTTTCTTGACACTGAGATGAAATCTATACTGAACACCGTATTCTTTAATCTTCTGCAACAAGCCCTTCAAGTCCTCCTCACTTTCAGCAAGCAAGGTTATGTGGTCTGCATAACACAGGTTATTGATGAGTCTTCCTCCTATCTTGGTGCCATATTCTTCTTCACAAAGTCCAGCTTCTTGAAGAATTTGCTCAGCCTTTTTAGAAACTGCCAGTATGTGTTATAAATTCATTTTTACTGACTTTAATCTTAAATTTAAATGTTGTATTTATTATTATAGCCTATTATAGGATGGAAGCAGGAGCAGCATCCACTTCCGAAATGGCTTGCCTCCGGAAACTCTATGTATGAACAGTGCTTAGGCCTGTCGTTCATAGGGTCGCTATGAGTCATCTACAACTCGACAGCACCTAACAACAACAACAATATAGGAAGGAGGATAGCACAACTATATCTAAGTTAGCTCTGTTGTGTGTCTTGGACAAATATGCTCTGTGAGGCTCGAGTTTCCTTTCTATGAAATGTACATTCAAGTATCTGGAGGAAGAGGAAGTGTAAGTGGAATAGATCTAGTCCATAATGAGCACTATTATGGTGGTTATCACCACCCAGATATTCTTACATACAGAAGCAACCTTGAATGTCACTACAATGTTGGCCAACTTCTGATCTTGGTCCTTTCTGATCCACCCCCAGCGTCCAGCTTGCTGGCTCCGACTCACCTGCCTGCTGTGGGCCCACATTGGTGGTCCCCGAGGCTCTGTTCTGTAGCAATGCTCCCACTGCACTTGTTATAGTCGGCTCCTTTTGGGGACTCACCTGTGCCCGACCCTACAAAGAAGGAGAGAGGGAGAATTCTGGAATCTCAGGTATCACCTGGAAGGGAGACCAGTTTCCACCAAGCCAAGCAGATCTTCTTTGGGAATCCCTGGTCCCCAGGGACCCAGACAGAGATACACCCTACATCCCAGTAAACACAATTCTTGTCTCCCTGCTGGTACTCAAAAACTATATATAGAGTTTTGGGGGCTGTTGCCTCATAAATAAACCTTGAGGGGAAGTGGTGGTACTTTAATCCTATAAAACTGGCCGTTGTGGAGACATGAGGTAATTGAATGTCAACAAGGGTAGTTATGGAACAGTTTACTCGTTCGTTCCACTTGAAGATGATTTTGTTTTTTAACACACAGACAAGAGAAGAAAAACAGAGATTGGCAGGCAGCAAATGTTTGCAGCATGGAATCCCGACATCCCTGCCGGTTCCCCCAGCAGAGGCACAGCTGATGTGTCTGGGAGGCGAGCAGGGCAGCGCAGCATAGCTACGTGCAAACAAAACAAGCACCAAAAGGTTTCTGAAGAGCCCCCTTTCCTCCCTCGTTCCTGGTCCAACCTCCATTTCCATGGAAACTGCTGTTTAAAGATAACCTGTTACTCCGAGTGAGAATTCTCACTCGGGCAAGGGTGGCAGGGAGATTACAGCAGGCAGTTTGTTCCCCATCCAAACAAAGCAAGCTATTTTTAGAGGCCCATATTGGAACTCTTTTTTGGGGTAAGGGTATGACACATTTTCTAAGTTGATTATGTTTAAAATAGAAACATATTTCTGCCGGGCTGCGAGCAGCCCTTCAAAGAGAGCGAGGACCCTTCTCTTTGTGTCCCACTTGTGAATAAGCTGTGCTATTAGGCCAGGCCCAAGTCTGTGCAGCCGGTAGAGGAGAAACAAACAGAGCTGTTCAGATATACTCTAGGGTGACTGAAGGAATTCAGAAAGCCAGCGTGTTGGGTTGTGTTTTGTTTTTTTTTTTTTTTTCTTCTGTGTTCCCAATCACCACTTAGCTCTGGAAAACAAGGAGAGGAAGGAGGCCAAGTCACTGGTTATACTCAGGGTGTGCAGATGGCCTTCCTCAGGAACCAAAAGCGCTGACGTCTGCGGCTCACTGTGTTCTGGGCTCCCCCGGGGCTGCTGAGCTGGGGGCCCCCGCACAGAGGAACCATCCCCACGTTTGGAGTGGAGGGAGACCTGGAAACCTGGCCAACTCGGAGCCGAGCTTTCCAGCCCAGGGCAGTCACAGGCCTCCCAGAAAGTGTGCTTAACCGGCCATCAGGAAGCAACTTCTTAGAGAGGGAAGGAAAAATGCAAAAAACAGCTTGTTGTGGAGTGGACCCCACTTCTGCATCCCCATGCAGGTTCGCGTATGACGGAGCCCCGCAGGGTTTGCAGTGACACATTTTTCAAAAATAGGCCCACCACGTCTCCCCCCACCCCTCAAGGGCTCTCTGAAAGAACTCGAACTGCCAACCTCTGGTTGAGCTCTACAACATCAAGAGCCTTCTTCAGAGAGGGTGAAGGAGGGGGCCAATTGGTTTTAGGATGGAGGAATTGACCTTTTTTTAAACACAGCTACATGCAAAGTACTGAGCAAAGCACTTCATGGTATTATGGGACACCCTCCCAGCAACTCCTAAAGATGTACACTGTCGACATAATTTTTTTTAAGTTTATCACAGTTCAAAGCTATCACAGAAGTTATACAATTCCTTCCTGTACATTTTTTTTAATTTTTAAAATATTGTTGATTTACACATACTAAGTATTGAATGAAAATGATCAAGAGTGTAACCAGTGAATATTTAATGCGTTTTTTAATGTTGGAGTTTTATTTTTTTCATATGCAAGTGAATTTCCAAGCATTGTAATTCATGCCTTGCTTGCAGTTAGTAATATACAGCTCATCCACCGTAGAACTGAAATTCACACCTGCCTCTGGATTTCAGAGCCCTGGCCCTTTCTACATTTTACTATTATGTGTTGAGACACCACCATTCCAACGCTTCACTTTGCTCCTTGTTTTCCTAGCTGTAGATTTATAGTATTGTTATCTGTCCAGGCTCTGGAGCCAAAAACTTTATTGTCAGCCTTGACACCCCTCCCCCTCCTCCTTTTACTGGTTATCTAATCAGTTTTTCAGGCCCATAATTTCTTTCCCAAACTCTGTGTTTTTCTCTTACACACACACACACACACACACACACAC